AGGGATGTACCATATTAACTTTTTGCCATTGTTGTCCAAACACTTGATTTCCGATTCCAATATCAAGCAGTAACGATATACGCAACATTTTTAGGTCACATCATCTGAACGAAGGGTACTTTTATTATCGGAGGATAAACCTTTAACAATCTTTACTGATATTACATAATTATGCCAATATCGGTCGGTAATATCGGTCAGTTAATCAATAGCTGTATAGTCTTGTATGCAAAATGCCAAGTGTACCTCAAGATATGGTAATGGTTGAAGTTTTTTAAATAAATAAATAAGCTCATCTTCAGCTGTGGAGTACTTCACAGACCCAACCACAGGATGGATATTACAGTCATCAGCATGAAAGATGAATAAATGTGACAGAGAAGATGCTTTTTTCCCCTCAAGGTCAGAGAAGTAAAAGTTTGCTTGTGTCTTTCAGAGGTGATAACTGTTACTGAAAGCTTTCATAAAATGCCTCCTTAATTCCTCCCCTCTCTCCCACCAAGGCTCCTCAGCCCCTCTCCTGCTTTCCCTTCTCTCATGTTTTATGGTCCTTGTCTGCGGGAGAGAGGACTGGTTAGGGATCTTTGGAGATTTACAGTCACTTTTTTTTTCTATTACGTCAAACGCGGCACCAATGTTAAAGCTGATATTAAAAAAAAAAAAGTTTCATGGATTCAGTCTTTCAGGGAATAATAATAAAAAAAAAGCCATGCTGTCTCCAAAGTTTCCATCTTAGATTAAGCTCTGGGAGAAAGTTTTGTGTAAAGGAAAAAAAAAATCCTTTCAGGCGTTTCTTATTTTTTTTCTGTTTACTTTGGAAAACTTTGAGAAAGCCCAACCCCCAAATTTGCTAAAGCTCAGAAAGCATCAAAGCGTTCATGGTTGCAAACGAAGGAGGTGGAATGTTTAAAACTCCACAGGCACATGTCAAGTGTACGTAGTGCGTGTGTGTGTGCGTGTGTGTGTGCGCGCGCATGTACAGGCCTGCACATTCAAACACACACACAGCAAATAAACAGCCGACAAATTGACTCCTGCAGCTGAACATCTGAGATGTGAGCTCCTGAATAGTTCCATATATTCAGCAGCTCGTGGCTCCAGAAATGAACGGTTGGTCATTGGCTGTTCACCCTCACACTCTAATGTTTGGACAGTAAAGTCCAATAAATGAGAAGAGCTGGGACTCAGAGCAGGAAGGGAATGTTCAGATCAGGTGCAGCCGGAACTTTTCCATAGAAGGTCGTCGTCTTATCGCTGGTAGAGATACACGTACTGATGAACCTGTGTGTGTGTGTGTGTGTGTGTGGGTGTGGGTGTCAGTGACTCTGACTGTAAACCAGAAGCCAAAGTGACTGATTCACTTTATCATTTTCTTGGCCGTTGTGGCTTCGTCCTGGATCAAGACCAACATCAGTTTTCATTTCTTTAATTGCAAAGAATAATTTCAATATTACCTCAACTGATTTATATTTCTGACCAATGTGGATCAGTTTAAATATCACAAATACAGATTTATAGAAAAGATAACTCTTCTCTTCTTTTGTCCTTCACTTCACTCTGGTTCAGGTTCATTGTGTCGACTACAAATCTCCTCCGTTACTGTTACAATTAATCCTTGACTGCAGAAATTGTAATATCTGTGATATTGGTTTAGTTTGTAATTTTGTTGGTTGGTTTGATATTTGATTTTGCCTTCTAAGGCAAAGTGGAGGAATGCCAATAGATAAAAGGGATAACAAAAAGGCTTGTTATTGACATTATTATTAGAACTCTTCCTGACTTTGCAAAAGCAAAATCCTGCCGATGCTCAAAAGAACAGGTGAACCTCAATCCTTTAAAGGACGGAAGATAAGACGAAGGGATGGAGTCAGGATCAGGGAGATACTGTGACAAGAGACGTTGGTGCTGGAGGTGAAGACAGCTTTGCCAGTTACTGCATCCTTCTTGAATAAATGTTTTAAATGTCACTCCTCAGTCACTTCAGGACTCAAATCTGAGCCTAAAAAGTATTTACACCTCAGCTCTTTCTAGTGAGGCTAATGATGAATAAATCAAATCACTGCCACACCGAGGAATTTCTCCGTCCAGGAATCTCCTGGTCTGGGAGAGAAGAAGTATATAATCAAGTCTTGAATTACATGAATCCAAAAGAGCCAATTGTAAGGAGATATTAGCTCCTTTGAATGTCATTACCGGAGGATCCCTCCTGCTCAGCGCTCATCTCGGGGTGGCTGTCCAAGTCCCTCGGTGGAGAGTGATGGAAAGGACAGAATCGGTCCTTTTCAGGACAATGACTGATTTGAAATTCCAACAACTCTCCACAGCCACCACTGCACCTCAGAGAGGTGTCCGACTCGGGGTCTGCCAGGCGGGACGCAGCCCTGTCATTAGGCCACAACGGCAGCACTCCGAACAATCAGTCTTCTTGTGGTCCTGCTAAAAAATGGCTGCTTTTGGTAGTGAACAAATATAATAATAATAACGTAGACCACACTCTGAGACGGTGGTTAGGGCCGTCGCCTTACAGTAAGGAGTCCTTGTGTATGGCATCTTCCACCTGTGATTTTCTCCCTTCGTACAGAAACATGTAGGAGATGGCTGACTGTTCACTCTTAAATTATCATTAGTGTAAATGTTAGTGTGAATGTTAGTGTGAATGCCTGTTTATCTTCATCTGTGTCCCAGTGATGGACAGAATGGATGATCAGCCTTAGGAGCCTAAGAGGATTAGATGGTATGTTGTTGTTGTTGTTGCTGTTGCTGTTGTTGTTGTTGCTGTTGTTGTTGTTGTTGTTGGGCGGGGACTACAGCTGAAGATTAGCCGTATCTCCTAAAGCTGCTCTTGTTACTGTTGTTGCAGCATTTTGATCAGATTTTCTGATAATAACAGTAATATTCACACCAGGAGGGGGCGGTAGAGTCTTCCTCTTCCTTTGCTCTTCTAAAACGTTTTTAGGAGTAAAATGTGTGTGACCGGCCCTTTGAATATCTTGAGTGTTGTCACTTCTGTGCAGACACAATAGCAGGAGATTCAACCAGCATCACTTTGAATTCCTGAGTAAAAAAAAAACCTTCTTTTTTTTTTTTTTTTAGTTTTACTTGTCTCCAAACTCTGTGCTTAAAAAAGCCACGAAGCAAACCTTAACCTGAAACCCTGTGGTGGGAACAGCAGCTGCAGACGCCCATATTCACAAAGGATTATTACTGACTGAAAAAAAAAACCCTGAAGGCTGTAATTGAAAATATGATTGGTTGAAAAAGTGAAACGCTTTGCACAGGCATATATTCTCTTAATGTATGTGAAATTACAGCGAGAACCGGCACACACAAGCACAGACGCAGCGTGAGAGCACACAAATGGACGAGGAAGCCCAGTGGGTGGACGGATAATGGAGGAAGACTGCCCAAATCCCACACACGTCTAATCCAGACACTTACAAGAGAGCGTGATTCATACTCTATTACAGTGGACGAGCGCAGCTGAGAGACGCGCGGGGCACCGTCGATTCAGCAGGCGTGAGCCGACGAAATAAGAGCCATGAATCCTATTTATGGAGACTTTAGTGGAGAGGGTCAGAAAGGTCAGGGATAAAGCCTTTGTACTTATTAGCCATTAAACATTAGTGGCTTCCAGCCCCACCTACAACCACAGCGTGTGTTCATTTGTGTGTGTGTGTGTGTGTGTGTGTGTGTGTGATGATAACATGGACTTCTATCCGACTAATGGAATAGATGTCTCTGCAGGACAATGTTGTATTCCAGCCAATAAAGTGTTTATGTCAACAGTCCTCTCACTGGTAGAGAGGAGTCACTTTAATAAGGCTGTAAAATCCTTCAATCCTGCAGTTCAGTAAAAAAAAAAAGCTAAACATTTGCCTGGTAATGTGTGTATTTTCTGATGAGAACACAGGAGTATCAGGCAGCGATGTTTAATCAAGGAAATTCTGAATTTTTAATTATTATTTTTTCAAGACTATAATGAACCCTTTGGCAAATATCTCTGTGTTCCTGTTTAAGGGATATAAGTTTAATAGTACTTCAAATAAATAGATAAATAAATAAGTGCACAGTGAATTAATTGTGGAAAATCATGTAAACGCCATTAAATAATTATGCGAGTTGTCTGGAATCACATTTAATTTTCGCCAAGAAAGGAAGGCTCCAATCATGTTTATTTAGTGATCAACATAATTTTGTAACAAAAAAATAAATCAAGTGATCTGAGGCTGGGATCCTTGTTTGTATTGTTTAATGGCTGCATGGTTAGAACTGTGGCTGCCATCAGAGATATTCAAAATAAGGGTCACGTTAGTCCCCCCCTGTCCAAGCCATAACATGAGGTGCCTGTGCTCCTAACCAGCTCCAAGGTTAATGGTGACGTCTGCACCTGTGGGAATATCGGTTCAACAGAAGGAGAGCGATCATCGGTGACACTGCCACTGTGGCCTGCCTGCTCTTTGTACTCCTCCTGACCAGGGCACTCATGTTGATCCACCCACTCCTACTTTGAAACGCTCCAAACACACAGAATGAGCATTTCTGACTGCACACGGCGGAAAAAACAAACAGGCAGACGAAAACATTAAGATCAAAATTGCTCATGGCAGGTGATGCTCTCCACTGCTTATCCTTTTCCTTAGACAAAAACAAGTCAGAAATAGAGCTGGCTATATTGATCTATCCAGCCCAGTGTTCTGTGTAGTCCTGTGTGTGTGTGTTTGTTTATTTGGCCATGGGCGTGTGTGTGTTCGTGACACATTAAAGAGACAAGGTGGAAAATAAAAACAGTCTCTGAAATCCAGCCTCAGAGTTAATGTTTTAAAGAGCACGTGAAGGCAGGCTTTGGCGGCTGTGTATTTTGACCAGTCAAGAACATAATTAGGAAACTCGCTGAGATTCCCTCTACACTTTAAAATAAGGTGACACATGTGATACTTCTGTGTCGTCTGTGCAAACAGCAAACGCAGGACTATTTTAGTGGACACATTTTGCAATCTCACCTTTCTTGTCCCCAAAAAACAGCGTTTGCTGTGCCGGATTTGACCACTGGAGGGAGGTGTTGTCATTATACTCCACACGGCAGGTCATGTTTGCCGTCCCGCCCTCTGTCACCGTCACATTCTGAACCAGAGGGTACTGCCCGCTGATGCCTGCAACAATAAACATACAAAAGAATTAGTAAGAACAAGCTGCAACGTGCAAGTGTGTGTGAGTGTGTGTGAGAGAGTGTGTGTGAGAGAGTGTGTGTGGGAGGAGGCACAGGGGGGAGTAAAGTTAGACAGATGGTACATTTTCATTGCTTGTATTTGTAAGGGTGGCTGCTGTTGGCGATGAGGTTTGTTTAATACATTCTAGTGAAGTATATTGTGATCACAGTGAACTGAAAGTAAAGATGACTGTTGACCACCCAGGTAGATTATTAACAGACACAAGGAGTGTATGTATATGCAGCTAAATATATTTTGTAAATACTAATGCTAAAGCTAATGTAAACAAACACACACTAAAAAGTAAGAACGATCTGCCTTGTATTCTAACTGTTCCTGGTGCAGCATAACCACTCACTTCTGTGTGCTACCTCGGACCCTAACAGAGAAGCAGGGGGGCATTCAGCCTGTGGGTTTTCTTTGGAACCGATTAAAATCCACTTTCCGAGGACTTGTGTGTGCATGTTGATGTGTGTGTATGTGTGTGTGCAATCCCTATGTTGAATGAGAAAAACAGGCAAACACACGGCATCCTGTGCAACCTCAGAAACTGAGCAGAGCTGGGTTTCAGCACCATGGACAGGTCACCTTTGTAACTGCTTCATCAAAAGCTCCCTTGTGATTTCCAGAACTTAGGAACCTTACTGTGTTCTGAGAAAGAGAGAGAGTGTGTGTGCATGTGTGTGAGGAGGCTGAGGAAGTAAATAATGGCCATAAATCTATTTCTGTCTTCACCCCCACAGGACAGGTTTTAAACACTGTGTGAATAAAGTGTAAGGTAAGAATGATTACTCATCCCTGGCCAACTTTCCTCCCCTGAACCCCCAACCCTGTTGGTACTGGGTTATAGAAACCCGGAAAAGAGAAAAAAAAAAAAACTGTGCAAGATTACCTTCAGAAATATGAATTTTCTAGAATTAATCAACCATAAAAATGTCAGCATCTTTTTTCTTTCCGTGCAATTTGGTGGAGCAGCCCTTTAAATTCTATATAAATTCAATGTCACTCTGTAATTATCAGCAAACAATTTCCCCCCCTAATTATGATAATGAAAGCACCGAAAAGATAACTAATCCCTCCTAAAGGTGAAAGTAGCAGGTGAGGCAAACATGAGCTCAGAGACCCGCGGTGGCTGATGTGTTGAGGGCAGAGAAGATGAGGTGAAGGAGGGAAGGCGGCGGCAGAGTGGGGTAAGTCAGGGAGCACGGGTCATTTCCAGTGTTGATTAAGGCCTCCTGAGGTTAATCATGCATGTGAGAGATAGAGAGGAAAGAGGAGTGAAATGGAGGAAAAATGGATCAGTGCTATGGGAGGCTGGAATTATGTTTTATTCATGAAAGTTTTGCATGAGGCATGATCTGCCAACGATTTACCATTCTCTCCCCCGCCTGCCCTCCCTCTCTTTATTACTTCCTCTCTTTAAATCACTTACTTTTCCTCCCTTTTCTCCCTCACACAGTCGGGGCAACACAGCCCACTGTGATACATTTTATTTCCTTTGTACCGGCCACAAAGGAAAGTTAATGGTTTAACACCAGGGTGAATGGTGGCAGTCTGAACCGGCTTCTGCAAATTATGACATATAGGTAATTTGATTTCATTATTACAGTGGATGAGTCATTGCCAATGTAATTAAGAATGATACTCTGCCCATTTATACTAACACTGTCACCATCTTCAGCTGAAACCAGCTGGGTTCATATGTCTGACAAACGTGGAACCATTGAGTCACTGTTCACTGGTAAATTTAGGTAAAAAAAAAAAAGATGAATTTATTTGGTTTTAAATTTCTCCACCAACCTCTATGACAAGAACACACATCGGCTCATGGTGAGCAACACACCATAAAATCAATACTAAGCACGACAATATATCCAACACAAGACAAGCTGTCACTAATTTAGCTCCGCGGCTCACACACCTTCACACACTCAGAGTTACTGCTGGTTCATCTGTCAGACATCTGCATATCACTTTTTGACTTCTAACAAATCAGATAAAAGACATAAAATGTTGGCAACTCACAGGAAGAGAGAGAGAGAGAGAGAGATTAACAGAAGACTATTTCAGTCTTGTTTTAATAGCAGGTCACAACCAATGTTTTAGGCACATACCGCCACCTACTGTACTAGAGTGTGTAGTCTCATGGTATGACCAGTGACTTTTTGAGATAACACAGACCACTCCTTACCTTGATACACAATTTCTTTTTTTTATTTCAGCAGATTCGAATTGTCAAACATTAGTATCAATGTTTTACCGATTCACGATGCATCGTTACGTCCTTATTCCCCTGACGGTCCATAAGGAAAAACCAAAACCAAAGGATAGATTACTGCAGTCAGCAAAACAGAAAGTGAGCAGAGCTTTTCAGTAGAAAACACTGTCTCCTGTCACTCAAACGATGTCGAACTTTCCACTCGTCCTATTTCCATGTTTCAGTGAACAAACACGTCATCCACCCATCGCAGAGACACAAGCAGAGAGAACTATTCTCACTCACATTTAGGGTTTTTTTTTTCGATTGTGTGAAGGCAAAGAACCAAATAAAAAACAACAACAAAAACAGTCAAACTGCAGGGAGACGTCGTCCACAGCCTCGTGAGTCTGGAGAGAAAGACAGAATCTGAAGTTTCTCCTTGTTTTTCCTCCTCTTTCCCCCCCCCCCCCCAGCTCTGACACAAAGTTAAAATAGTCTGGGGATCCCTTTTCTTTAGTGTTAGCCTTTTGCTGGTGTCGGGTGTTACACGTCCAGTGGGACTGATAAGGCCAAAGGGACGACAATGATGGTTATATTAGAGCATTGCAGTAGTCTGTCCACCTAATTGACCAGTGGAGTGGGTTCCTCTGTTCTCCCCTCTGGCCACACAGACCTGATTTAAATGTATCTCCTGGGGGAAGCAGGCAGCTGCTCTCCCCTGATTTCCATGTCTAAATTTAGGTTCCTTCCTCACTCCACCTCCACTCCTTCCCCTACTTTCAGGCTCCTGCTCTATCTTTCCCATTTCACATACATCCCAGTTCCTCTCCCCCCTTCTCTGCGTCTTTCTCTCCCTCCTTCCCCTTCTGTCACGTTTCCTCCCCGAGCTGATCCCTGAAGGGTGGCATTTCACTGTCTTTGTCTCTCATTTTCATATTCTCTTTGTCTCCCAGTGCTCCCCACTCCGCCTGATTTATGGTGATCTTACCTCCTTTTCTTGTGCTGAGCTGAGCCCTATCTTATATGGAGAGAGGGGTCACTTTAATTGCCCCTCCACTTTGACTGACATGGCCGGGGTAAGCAAGGTCAACATCTGTATTACATTATAGAGTAATGGCGTGACTAAATTCACTCGGCTTCTTGGTTAGCACCGGTGAATCAGAAAAGGCAAAGGCTGGAAACACCAACGTGAACTTGTAGATTTCAGCCGCTCCTAAAACAAACACCAAACCTTTATTTTCTCCAGGGACGTAAACCACATCACATTCCCACATTTTAGCCTCCGCACAGCTGTCTACCTGGAGCTGAATTTTAAGTTTTAATAGGACAGCTCTTTTCCATCCTCACCTCCTCCCTCGTCTCTATCTAACTTCATCAGGACAGAGTGCAGAGCCACACACCGTCAGCTGGACTTCTGCCTCTCTCTGCATCCAAATCACAGTGTCCCATATTATTGTCCAGAGTCTGCAGTATAAAGTAAAGATCTGTGAGGCCAGTGGAGATGTCCACGGGACACAAAGACACATTCAGAACCTCAGTACATGTGGGAAAGCAGGCGGCGGGACAAATAATAATGACCAGGTTCTCCTGAATGCTTTGTGTGGACGCTCTGATCTGACCTTTTAGTCAGATGCAGCAAAAGCGTCTAGTTTAGCTTTTCAAGACGGAGAAAGTGAGAACAAAGAGATTGACGGACAGACAGACGGATGGACGGACAGACAGACAGCCTAAAGCTACTGACCTTTACACCAATACTAGAGCTGAGCTGTAAGGCCTCCATGCATGGATGAGAATACAGGATTACAAAACAGAAAAAAAAAGGCTCCTGGTTTTTTTCTTCAGCCGAGTCACCTCTAAGGCCGGCCTGACAGAATACTAAAGGCACAGCCGGGATCACGGTTGTAAAAAAAATGACCCTTTAATAGATCACTGTTCAAGTTGAGGTTTGGTTATGGAACGAGAAGACAGAACTTTTACTGCACCTGCTGAGAAAATGAACCACAAAGTTCTAGGATTTGTCTGAAGGTTTCTTTGACTCCGTTCTGCTTTGTTTCTTTTGGGACCAGTATTATGGTTCTGTTAACCAGCCATGTGTCCATGAAACACACACACAACCTTTGGACTGATTTACAGCATCGACCACTTGTTCCTTCCGGAACAGGAGGTAACCAGTCAGACAAGTGTGTCATCACTTCATGCCCTCCCTCTGGGATTTCTTTGTGACAATTATTACGCAACTTTTTTTTCCCTCAGAAACATATCACACATACACACACACTTTGCCCCTTTTTTTCCTCACTTTTTAATGGCAATGTACAAACCTCATGTGAAAAATAAGCCTCATATTGACAGTCCTAAAATTACATGAACGTGTAAACGGCAGTTTTTGACAGCCTGATTAAATTACATGTTCCCAGGTCCCCATCTACCAGTAGATCTTAAAGAGACAGTAGTTCATGATCAATCCAGGAATAAATACAATTAAAATATAGACGTCATTCTGTCTTTGGATGTTCATCACTGGGATGTTTATGGTTTTTTTTTTGTTTTGCTTTACTTTACAGTTGAAAATGAATTGAGTTGGACAGTAAAAAAAAAAAAAAAACATGGTCCAACTTCTCCTTGTCCTTAAATAAATGAGATTTCAAATGCATTACCAATTTAAAGTTTTTAGCTTTTATGGCTTTTTCCAGAAGTCCACCGACTTTTTTTTTTCTTCCTGGCAAGGACTTTTGTATTTGTGACAGTGCTTTTCAGAAGCCAAATCATTGCATAATCTATCACTGCTTATAAAACCCACACAACTGCCGAGTTGGTGTCCAGACAAGCTCTCAGACACCATTATCGTTTGCCCAGTTTTTCTGCCCTTGATTCTGCAACATCAATTTAAAGGGCAGGCGTATAAACCTTTGCCCATTCCCTGCGTGGAAGCTGTCTGAGTTCAAGTTCGCCCGGTCCAAAATGGCCAGGGATCTCACTTTGCTTTTTTAGTCAAGGGCAGATATCTCATGGTTTTATGACAGAGGTAAACCAGGCCTTCATAAATACTTCATATACAGCTTCTTTCCAGCTGGCAAAAGCGAGCAGAAGAATCTGAAAGACGAGGTGAGCCGGGTTAGCACTGGATACAAAGTTTTGACATTTAAGTGAAAGCAAAGCACGAGTGAAAAAAAATGTAGTAAATAACAGAAGTGTAATAGAGTGAATGCCTTCTCTACAACCAAGAGTATCCGTTTTTATACGGAGTATTTCAGTGGAAAACTGAAGTGTTTCCACAGCTGGACTGTATTTAAATTCCACGAATCCTTCATAATTGGGTGTGTTTTTAAATGGACAAAGAAGTCAAATCAAATAACAATTCAGTCTGATTTTCTCACTCTGGCACAATTAAAGATAATATTCGAGTTAAAATTTCCCGCCCCCTCAAAAGTGGACCTGGCCCCCACGCTGGGTACTACAATTGTAATTTCGATTTTTCCCATTCAGAAAATACTCATTTCATTAAAAAAATGTCACAGTCAAAATTCAGGAAACAAATAAGATTATCCAGGTGTTTAGGCCACAGAGTCCTGTCCTCATATCTAATTATATTTTGTCAATCCTCGTGGTGGGGACATTTGATGTTTGCAGCCCTGGTTGTCACGTCCTTTGTGTTTCTTGTCTCCTGCCTTTGAGACATATGTAGATGTGTGTTAGCATGCATGAGGTGTGACGCCTGTGTTACCAATGCTGGCTGAAAGTGAGAAAGAATGCACACGAAATGGTGGAATCCTGTGTGAGTCCCAGTCTCAGCTGTTCCTTCTTTTCAGTTTTATTTCATATGTAAATAGAAAACCGACACAACGGCGAGACAATGCGAGCAGTCAAACGTCTTTTTTCTTTGTTGTAAATGAAATATCATGAAGACCGTGGGATGAGACTTTCTAGCTGGTGGATTTCTAGACTCTGATGAGTTGGAGGATCATATTTAATTCATAGGTTTCACGTGTGAAGTTGGAGATAAGACCAAAGTCTGGGTGTGGTCACGTCTCTGAGGGGGACTCACACTAATCACCGCTGCCACCAAAATCTCCCCAATTCCCCCACATCAGACCGTGACTGTGTGACGTTCTAATGTGCAGTGATGTGTTGACAGACGCTGTTCATTTAAGAGTGATTGTGTAAACGCTTCGAGCCCCCGGGGGGCTTCTGTGCAGAATTTACTGAGTGAAAACGGCACGCTCCGAAAAACAGCTTCCATCGTTTGGTTCATGTGTCAGGAATACTTTATTGAAACTCTTTTTTTTTTTTTTTTTTTTTTTTTAAGTTTGTGGAGCAGAGCAGCAGGGTGGACTTTTTTGGAGAAGTGGTCTCTTTATTCTGTGGACATTGAGGGGAGGTTTTCACATTTAAAAACAATAAGAGATATTTGTAATGGAGTAAGTCAGAAGATACTTTCTATTGTCCTCACACAGGCTGCAGGCAGAGACGAAAGGAAAGGACAAGTCCTGAGAACAACAGATTGAATTTATACAAACCTCATCTACAGACAGGTTTACTTCTATATATCATGGTCAGCTTTATTATTTGCATGGAGTAAAAAAGGGGAGAAAAAATTAATCTAATTAAAATTGGAAGGTTACTGTCTGATCTGATATTTCATGAGATGGACTTGATTTTTCCACTTTCAAGTGTCTAATTATATTTGCCTTTCTACTGTTTTTACAAATTGACTTTCATTTTCCTCTCTTTCTCTTAATCAGCTGCAGCTGAAGTGCATTCTAAAGTAGAACTGGACCATGAAATTAGGATCACTGACTGTGTTTCACAAAAAGAGAGTGGCCTGATTTTTAAATACACCCACATGTATATGTGAGCCGCCCTTTTTTATACTCTATGGCTGTGAAGGTTAAGAAGTCTCTGCATCTGAAAAGTAATATTCAGTTATATTTCATGACCCCAGTGCAGCACCTCTGTGAACCATGTGTGGGGTGCTGGCCCCCTGTTGAAAACCTCTGTCCTGAAGTATCTGTGGTAAAATACTTTAAAGCAACATTTCCACATTGACAGCTTTGTTTTAGTGGAGTTTTGACAACGACCATTCAGTGCAATAAAACAGTAGTGTTTGCCCTCCTGATGCATTTATCTTCTTGTATGAATATCGTCTTCGCCACAGCGGCTTCTCTGTCACATTGTCAGCACTTTTACCAGGTGTCGTCATTACGACTAACACCAGAGCAGCGGCGGTGAGCGTTTGCCATCCTGTGGTAAAAGCATCAGAGTTAGAGCTAAAATAAACGTGGGTAAATGACTATTTAATGGACGGAGTAATTACACAGAAGCCAGAAAAAGCTGCTGTGGACAGAAAAGTACATGTTCATCTTAACACTGCTGGATCCGTGTCAGATCTCTGTGGATGGACATCACTGTGTTACCATGATGTTGATGCACTGCTCTCCCCGCGCTGCTTTCTCACTTGACTTCTTGCTACAACTTTGCACATTAAGTGACTGTATTCCAGACCTGTTTGTCAGCCTGTTACGAGAACCCAGTGGATGAAGAACTGAGCTGCCGTTGACTGAAGACGCAGCTTTTCAGAGGCGTATTTACAGAAGCACAAAGCTGAACGTAATCAGGTTATCACCTCTCAAATAAACCCTCTCCTCTCCCCTCCTCTCCCCTCCGCTCCGCTCCTCTCCTCTCCTCTCCTCTCCTCTCCTCTCATCTCACTCCTCTATCCTCCCTGCCTCTCCTCTCCTCTCCTCTCCTCTCCTGTCCTCTCCTCTCCTGTCCTCTCCTCTCCTCTCCTCTCCTCTCATCTCACTGATCTATACTCCCTGCCTCTCCTCTCCTCTCCTCTCCTCTCATCTCACTGATCTATACTCCCTGCCTCTCCTCTCCTCTCCTCTCCTCTCATCTCACTCCTCTATCCTCCCTGCCTCTCCTCTCCTCTCCTCTCCTCTCCCCTCCTCTCCCCTCCGCTCCGCTCCTCTCCTCTCCTCTCCTCTCCTCTCATCTCACTGATCTATAATCCCTGCCTCTCCTCCATACTATCGCCGTTCAGACACCAGATTGTGAACTTTGTTATTTTCTACCACAGTAAAGGGCATGACAACCACAATTACATACTATAAATCTTTTAACTCTGTGTGATTGTCATCAGAGCTTTATGAGCTGGAAAGGACATTTTACAAAAAAGGGAGGAAAATAGTGACACTGAAATGAGTGTTGGGTGTCTTCAAACTAAAAAAAAGTAGAAACAGAAAAAACAAAACAAAATTGTTTTTAATCTGGATTAACCTTAGAAAGGTTATTTTTCTGTCAATTACAGAAGAAGAAAAAGGGGAGTAAAAGCAGACAAAGTGAAACGGCAAAGAGAATCTATTCGTCTAGATTCATAGGGCTGAGGCACAGCGGGGGCATGGGAGGAGGAGGAGGTGGGGGAGGCAGCCATGACTCACCTCGGACTTTGCCTTTTGAAGCCATCACTGGAATCCCCAAGTAGAGAGAGAAGAGGGGTTTTGGATGGACAGCAAGAGAGGCAGACGCCAGAAAACAAAGAGGAGAAAGAACAAAGACAGAAGACAGAGCAGCTGATTAGATAACTGTAGGGAAGAACAGTGTGCTAGTGTCGGCTGCACGTAGCAAGAAACATCACTGTTTTTATCTAGAATGTCAATCACGGCCGCCGAATCCTGTGATCGCTCAACCCTGAAAGAGAACGTCCCGATCTGGCTCATCAGCAAATTGAGAGTTTACAACGTAGCACCTTTTAATTAGCTGCATCACATTATCTGGTTCATGTAAGGAAGCCGTTGGGTCCCCTAGGAGCCATAAAGATACGGACGCTCTACCGACATCATGCGGTTCATCTGTGACGCCCCGCGTTATTGGATTTCTCGTAGAAATTGCAGGAGAATTCTCAGTGGCTGTCGTTGTCCACGGGCTGTGAGTGACAGCAGTGTAATCATGGGGTAGAGGCACAGACAGGGGCGTTGCATGGAAAATATGCAATAATATGTGAGCCATCAGTGGAGGGGAGGGGGGTGTAGTTGGGGGGGGGGGCTTCATTAAACG